CTCCATTCACAAAAGGGGTCAGTCTGGATGAACAGGTCCACCATGTCTGTTCTAGGGGGAATAATCTATTTGGAATGAATTATGGGAATGGTTTGATTGCAGAGGTGTTGATGTGACAAACGCCCTTTCATCAGACAGATACCCTGTTCTGATATGATCTGGAGGGTTAAAGCTAGACCTTCCTGTGACCATTTATATGTAGAAACATTATATTCAACTATTAATTCAATGTCTTCATAACAGAGGGAGATGTGAGACACACAGTACATATAGGTATCATATATGACATATATCATATAGGACAACAGACTCGGGACTAAGACTGAGTCGACTTTAACTGGAGGGAGTTGATGTCCTTTTGAACCCTCCATTTTGGTACAGCTGGAGCCAGGCAGTCTTCTTTAGTGGAGAAGCAGGCATGAGTGTGAGTGTAGCGCCCCCAGGCGGTGATGCCATCCACTTCGATGGCAGTTGGCCTGGTCAACAGGACGATGTAATGTCCTTTTCACCTGAGTGAGCTTAAGTGCACCTTGGTGAAATCTCTTCACACAGACCCAGTCTCCTTGATTTGTGTGGTTCGGGAGCCGGGCCTGCTTCATAGAGGGCACATAATAATTTAGGCCAAACATATTTATGACCCCGTTGGGTAGCTCTGACCCTAAATATTAAATCATCATCTTTCAGTTCTGTAATAGCTGCCGGCTGTAGGCTGAGTACAATGGGGGCTGGGATACTATATATAATTTTATAGGGGATTAGTCTCATCTGGCAAGGAGAATTTTTTTTTTTTTTACCTGATATAGGGCAAAGACAAGGAGTATCGTCCAGTCCTCCCACCAGTCTCTAAGGCTAATTTAGTTAAGGTCTCTTTTTTTGTTTGTTTGTTTGTTTGTTTGGTTTTTTTGTTTTTGTTTTTGTTTTTTTTCGAGACAGGGTTTCTCTGTGTAGCCCTGGCTGTCCTGGAACTCACTCTGTAGACCAGGCTAGCCTCGAACTCTCAAACTCAGAAATCCACCTGCCTCTGCCTCCCAAGTGCTGGGACTAAAGGTGTGCGCCACCACCGCCTGGCCTAAGGTCTCTTTTAATGTGTTCTTTCTACCTGCCCTGAACCTTGGGGCCAGTATACACAATGCAATTTCCAATCTGCCCCAAAGAATTTTGCTACTTCCTGACTTACCTTGGACACAAATGCCAGTCCATTGTCTGACTCAACGGAAGATCTCCTCCAGCAATTCCTTGGCCACTACCTTTGCTGTCTTAGCCTTGGCTGGGAACGCCTCTGTCTACCCAAAGAAAATGTCCACAAACACCAACAGATACTTGTAGTCACACCTTACCTCCTTGATCTCTGTAAAATCAATTTTCCCAGTAGGCCCCCAGTCTCTTACCTCACAGTCAGGATTCTGGATGTTTGGGGTTGCTGGGAGTATTAGTTAGCTGGTAAGCATTAAACTTTGTCACTATATCCTCTCTAATGTTGGGATTACAGGTGCAAATCACTGTACTTGGTGCTGGTGTTCAGGAATTCTCTCACATATCACACAAACATTGATCTCAGATAGGGATAGTTTATTGACCCCCCTACACACACGCGCACACACACACACACACACCCAAGACTGATTCATCAGGGATGCAGCTCAGTCTGTTTGTTTGGGAGCTGGAATGTTAGTTCACTCTCAGGGCAGGTTATTTGTAAGCAGGAAAACCAAGTACAGAAGGCAAGAAGGTGGGGTGGTATTACAGTTTAGCTAACTAGACAAAGTATTATCTGATGAACTTTAAGCTCTTTGGCTATGGGTGAGATGATAGGGGTATTTGTTAGGGGTTTTCCATAGCCTTAAGACTTTTTAGGAGAATTTTTCACTGTCAGCTATGAATGATTACCTTGTGGAACCAAAGTCTGAGAACCTGAACTTAATTTCACCTTATGAGCAAAATGGAGACTGAATACAAAATGGCTACGGTTATGTTAAAGGGAGCAGGCCTCAAGAGTTGGATTGGTTCTACTTGAAAACATATTTAATTGTGTGTGTGTACGCGTGCCCATGCCTGAGTGTATATGTATGAACACCAATCACTTATGTGCCTCAGAAGAGGTATTTGATCCTCTGGAACATGTTGCAGGGGTTTTGGGGTGACCCACTTGGGGTTTAATAATAAAGACACTGAGACATCTGTATAGTATAAGCCTGTTAGACTTCTTGCTGGGGGCAGTCTCCTCAGTTAACTATCTAGACTTGACCTTGGAGGACCTTGAAAGGCAGCCTGGTTTCTTGTTGAGCACAGGCTAGAAACCCTGGTGGCCCCAGGTGACCCTGAGAGACCGAAGGTGACCCTAAGGGACGGCAGACGTTTCACCACGCCCACAGACTCCAGGCTCCTGACAGGAGGCTCCAGCACTCCATAGATTTCTGCCCCTCCACAGGTAGAGAGTGTGAGTACAGGCCATTTAGCCTCAAGACAGATTAATGAGGTACCTAAAGGCCAGAAGGGGTTAGCCAATTAAGCATTCCTTCCCAGACCCTATTCCCTGTAAAAGGTATTTAACCTCAGGCCTGCCCTGAGAAAAGGGGGTACAGGTTCTCATTTACTTTCTGCCATGATAATAAACATCTTAAAGCCATGGACTGTTTCTTTTCATCGAGATCCACTGTAGGGAACAGTGGAGCAGGCCTTCACCTACAGAGCCGCTGCCTAATCTCCCGCAGAAGACCTCTCTGCATTCCCAGCCACGACCTCTCTGCATTCCCAGCCACGGCAACCAGCAACTCAAGCCAGCCGCCCATAACCAAGCCAAGCCAAACCTCAGTGTCAAGCCAAGAACTCTCATCCCTGGGGGATCCAGCTGGAGCGCTCTCCCCCTCTCCCCTTCAGCCACGGGCCAATCCAGCCCATGGGTCCCCCACTCTGTTCTCAATTCTTCTGTGGCTTCCTGTGGCGCCTGGGTGCCCAAGAGCCTGAGAACCAGACAACCTGTAGGTCTGGGGACCACCCCGAGCTAGCTCTGGCTCCCCCGGGACCTCAGACTGTGCTTCCCCAGCCCCGAAGCGCTGTCCCCGCAGTGGCTTCTAGCAGCCTGACACCCGCCCAGCACCTGGGGTGAGTGCAGTTATCTTCCTGCATCCTGCCTCCCTGAGGAGCAGCCCTAGCCCCATGGCGGGCAAACTTGAGACCCCCACCTTAACCCAACAGACCTGATGCAACCTAGTGGCTCTCTCTGCTCTGCTTCCCTACTACCCCCACAGTTATAGTCAACTGGGAGCTGGGAACCAATCCTGGATCCTCTGTAAGAGCAGTAAGTACTCTTAACCTTAGAGTCATCTCTGGAAGCACTCAGGAGGCAGAGGGAAGATCTCTGTGAGTTCAAGGCCAGCCTGGTCAACATAGGACGTTCCAGGTCAGCTAGAGATACATACTGAATCTATCTGCCCTCCTGAATGGATTAATACTGTCTGAAAAGGCGCTTGAGGTTGAAAGCTCCAGTTCCTTGTGAGCACCGTGTTTGTCTTCGGCTACACTGCAAAGCAATACATTCTCACAAGATGTGGCCCCTCCGGGCCAACTGAGTAGTTTATATCTCCACTGATGTCTTAGGGTTTTATTGAGGCAACAAAAACACCATGACCAAAAAGCAAGTTGGGAAGGAAAGGGCTTATTTGCCTCACACTTTCACATCAGTGTTCATCATGGAAGGAAGCCAGGGTAAGAAAACGGCAGGAATCTGGAGGCAGGAGCCAATAAAGGGGCCATGGAGGGGTACTGCTTACTGGTTTGGTTTCACATGGCTTGCTCTGCCTGCTTTCTTAGAGGGACCACCTACCCATGGATGGAACCACCCACAACGAGATGGGGCCTCTCTCACTTGTGACTAATTGGGAAAATGCCTTAAAGCTGGATTTCATGGGGACATTTCCTGAACTGAGGCTCTTTCCTCTCTGGAGACTCAGGTCTGTGTCAAGTTAACACAAAGCCAAGTTGTACAAAGATGTCTTCATGTGAGTCCACCTAAGGGGACTAAATGAATGAAAATGTGGGTTTGAGAGCTAGGACACAGTTCAGTTGGGAGAGGACATACCTAGCATGCACAAAGCTCTGGGTTCAATGCCCAGCACATCAACTGGGCACACTGGTGTATGCCTTCATGAAATCCCAGAACTTGGGAGGTGGTGGCAGGAAGATCAAAGGTAAGAAGATCAAAGTCAGTCTTGTCTATATAGCAAGTTCAAGGATAGCTTGGGCTACAAAAAGACCCTGTCCCCCATACTTTTTCCAAAATGTGAGCCAAATGTACTTGGTCTTTAATTCCAGCATTTGAGAGACAGAGGCAGACAGATCTGTTTGAGTTCAAGGCCTACATGAAGAGTTCCAAGTCAGTCAAGACTACATGGTGAGACCCTGTCTCAGAAATAGTCCATCTATAATTAAAAACATAAAATTGTGCAGGAAGAGCCCACTCATCACTCACTTCTTGAACTAGTTCCAGCCTCCAGTCTGCCCTAGATTGGCCATTAGCCTTTCTCCTAAGATCTCAGTCCTCAAAAGTCAGATAGATACTCAATCTTACTGTTCAGAAAGCGGGAAAGGGGATTTCTCAGTCATCCTTCTAGATTAAGTTGTAGTTTCTTTGGATTTTTTTTTTTTTAATTCTAAGGAGAACTACTCATGGAAGTTACTATCCACAGAATTTATGAAAGCATGAAGTTTGGTTTTAGATCATGCCGTGCTATATGTAATGCTAGGGTTCTGACAACGTTGAAGGTTTTAGCCCTGTCCATGAGTCACCATACACCTGAGACATATGACCAAGTGTTAAGTCTAGCATAAAGGCTGACACTTGTGATCCAAAGACTGAGGCAGGAGGATTGTTGTGAATTCAAAGCTAGCCTTGTCTATTTAGTTCCAGGATGGCAAGGTTACAAAGTAAGACTTTGAGGGAAGAGAGGTAAAGGAGCCGGAGGTGGGAGACCAAACCGACAGCATAAGAAAATAAAACAGGATCAGGACAGGACTTTTCCAAATTTTATTAGTCTGAATCCAATCAATGGGCAGAAACTACCCAGCAACATTTATTTTACTTAACAACAATTCCAAAGCCCAAGAATATTGATGCAAAAGTGAAGCTGTAATTCTTTTACTTGAAGACTCTTGTGATGCTTACAAATATCATCCTAGGTATGTTTGTACAAGGGAAAACCTGATGCAGAGTAAATACCATACAAGGCTTCAGAGAGCCACGAGAGGCCTTGGGATGGACACACAGGCAGTTGTGGTAATATGGACCTCGTGTCCCTCTCATCCATATCTATCTAAGCAAGATCACGAAGAATACATGCTGCTACAATGTAGAACCAACTATCAGTCTGTTACATTTATTTGGGGAGTAGATATTTAACTATAAAGACTCTAAAGCCGAAGCAGCCTGACCCTGCTTTGTGACAACAACTTTGTTTCCACAGAACTCCATTGTTACTCTAACAGCAACAGCCACGTTTTAGGAACTGAACACATATCCTCCCAATTCTAGTCTTAGAGAAGAGTCTCCCATATGCTCAGTACCAGAGTGGTAAGTTGGTTGTATTAATGCAGGAACCTGCAACAGATCTACCACTTCAATTTTCTTCACACTGGTTCATTTTTTTCTTTTGCTGTTAGATAGATTCGTCTGTTGTGCTTTAGCTGCTAGCAAATGCTACTGTAAGACCATTACATTTTATTCATCGACACTGTAAGCAACACACATCTGCGCCCACTTTTTTTGCTACTGTCATTTATGCTGTGATGAACAGATTAACTGGTACATGACTCCCTACGTAAGCATATCGGCTCCTTATATGCCGATATAAGTATAAATGCTCAAGAATAATAGCTGAGGAAACCAGAATCTACAATTTGTTTCCTACCTCAAGGTCTCAGAAACTACCCTAGAAAATTCTGACACAAAGCTTTGCTTTCTGCAGACACCGCAATTCCTAAATCAACGATGACGTCAACCCTATTATTTTCCCACATGATTATCCTGAGATTATTTTTTCAGTCATCCACGATTTTCCCATTGACCCGGGATACTGCCACAAGCATCAGTCCTCTGGGAATTCATTCACGTTTCTAGATTCAATATTCTGTTCTGACCTCAAAATTAGACAATTTTATCAACAAAGACCTTGAGTTGGCATGGTGATATCTGGAACTGCAGCACTGGGAGGCTGAGTAAGTGGATCAGAAGAAACATGAGGCCAACTTGGGCTACATAGGGAGTTTAAGGTCACCCTGGGCTATGTACATAGGGAGATCTGTCCCAAAATGCCTTCTCTGAAACAGGATTTGTACAAATACTCTATATACCAAAGCATATATCAAAAATATTTTTGCCTCTTAATTTCAAACCTTTATATTGCTCATATTATCTTAATACAGTTGACAAGCTTTAGAAGACCATCCTGATTGGAATCACTGGACTCCTAAAATTAGAATACTAATAATATTTCTTGTAAGAGTCTGGGAAGTATATAATACTATGATCTATCCTATTAAATACCTTTGCATTTTCTGGTTTGAGTCACTACAGAAGCATTTCGTACATTTGTGTAACATTAGTGTAAGACGAATCCTTGGACACATCACTAGCCATACACGCTGTTCAAGTGTCCGCACATCTAAGGCCTTAGAGCTTTAATGAATGTGGATTCTCTGGTGTCTAATGTGATGGGACTTCTGACTGAAAGCCTTCCCACACTCAGTACACTGGTAAGGCTTTTCACCGGTATGGATTCTCATGTGTAAAGCCAGAGTTGAGAACTGAGAAAAGGCCTTCCCACATTCATTGCAGCCATAGGGTTTCTCTCCCGTATGGCTCCTCATGTGTACCGTAAGAGACGAACTCTGACAGAAGGCTTTCCCACAGATTTTACACTCATAGGGTTTATCACCTGTGTGGATTCTCACGTGTACAATGAGGGATGTAATTCGAGAAAAGGCTTTCCCACACTTATTACACTCATAGGGCTTTTCGCCCGTGTGGATATTGTGATGCTTGATGAGGTACTGTTTCTGCCTGAAAATCGTCCCGCATTCATTACACTTATAGGGTTTCTCTCCGATATGAATTTTCTCGTGCTCAGTTAGATTTGATTTGCCGCTGAAGGCTTTTCCACACTCCTTACATGTATACGGTTTCTCTCCAGTATGACTTCTCTGGTGTCTGATGAGGCTTGATTTCTGAATGAAGGCTTTCCCACATCCTTTACATTCATAAGGCTTCTCTCCAGTATGGATTCTCTGGTGTATAATGAGGTTTTCTTTCTGGCTAAAAGCCTTCCCACACTCATTACATTTAAAAGGTTTCTTCCCACTGTGGATATTCTGGTGTTTAATGAGGTACTGCTTCTGGCTGAAGGCTCTTCCACACTGATTACACTCGAATGGTTTCTCTCCGGTGTGAATTTTCTCATGTTCTTTGAGATATGATTTGCCATTAAAGGATTTCCCACACTCCTTACATGCATACGGTTTATTCCCCGTGTTTCTCTGATTTCTAATGACGGTTGTCACGGGAATGGGAGTTTTCTTAGATTCACTGGGTCTCTCTTCAGTATGTTGTTTCTGATGAGAAAGGAAGTTTCCTCTCTGGCTGAAGGTTCTCCCACACTCAGCACACTTGTATGATTCCCTCCGTGCACGACTTCTCAGATGTAGAGTCAGTGAGGAGGCCTGTGAGAACGCTTCACCACATCCGGTGCACTCACGTGACTTCTCTCCACTATGCGCTTTCTTATGTTCCACAAAGTTCTGTTCCAGGCTGAAGGTTTCCTTACATTCATTACATTCATAAACTTTCTCTCCAAGATCAGGTTCATCATGCAGAAGATCTGACTCAGGCTGGGGGCTTTCCAACATCCTGTTTCACACGAGGATTCTTTCCTACCATCTACTGAGGTTGGATGGAAGATTTGCCAGAGTCACTAAATAAAATTTCTTTTCAATATTAGTGAAGCCAGGTATCTGAGAGACTTTTTACGTGAGATGTGGTTACAAGGGATTGAAATAACAGAACAGTCTTTGCATTAGTGGTTCTTCCTTACAGTTTCTCTCATGATCATAAATGATGAATGTGGGTAAATCACAATTCAAATTCTCTTCAACTGAATCCCATATATAGGAGGAAGTCTTGCAGAACCACTGTCTGTGCCCAGGGGAAATACTTTGTTTTCTAGGTTTTCTGAATTTGTTGTTAGTCTATCTCTATACAGAAAGATGAGACTTAATTCACATGTCTTTCATCCTGTGTCCTGATCCTGTGTCTAAACTCCAGAGGCTGCTTCTAAAAGAGAACAACAAGTCATTAAAGCGAATTCACAAGGGTGAAAATGGTGTCTAGACCGCAGAAAGCATCCAGTAAACTAGCTTGCACTATCATCAACATCCTTAACAACCTGTGGATTCTCCCTGAAAAAACGCTAATAAAATACAGAAATGTGCTATTAAAGAAAGGCTGTTTAAGCCGGGCAGTGGTGGCGCATGCCTTTAATCCCTGCACTTGGGAGGCAGAGGCAGGCGGATTTCTGAGTTCGAGGCCAGCCTGGTCTACAGAGTGAGTTCCAGGATGGCTGGGACTATACAGAGAAACCCTGTCTTGAAAAACCAAAAAAAAAAAAAAAAAAGAAAGGCTGTTTAAGTCACAGATGGTAGGTCACACTCATAATTCCAGAACTTGAGACACTGAGGCAGGGGACTTACATGAATGGACTAGACAGTGAATTACAGGCTGGCCTGGCTACAGATGAGACTCTGCTTTCAAAACAAGACAAAATAAAACAAAAAATAAAAACAACCAAATGACTGAAACCCAGTCTTTGGTTCAAAAAAAAAAAAAAAGCTCAAATACAGTGACAGTCCCAGCTGTGTACAGCTTTAACTGTCTTTAAATGTGGCTTGCACACACCATCGGTACATAAAAAAAGAGAAAACATAAAAAACTAGACAACAACCAGGAAAATACATGAGACTGGTAGTGCCTAGGATGAGAGAAAGAGAAAAAAAATATTATTTTTTTCAAATACATCTATCTGTTTTCTTGAAATTCCATTAAAATGGTAATAAAAGGACTAAGGGATGGGAAAAATACTTACGAAAACTAAACATTCGTGGGTAAAATTAATTTAAGAAACTAAAGGCCAAGACAGCTTGATAAAAGTCTAAAAGTAAGGGTGTCAAGTGGGGACAAAATTAATTTGTGATAGAGCTTAACAAAACGATTATGCAGTCAAATATAGTAGCTCATCTATGTAATGTTAACACTTGCAGGACAAAGGCAGAAGGATTGCCACAAGTTCAAAAGCCAGCCTGAGTTCAATGTTAGCTTGAGATAACTTCCAGGTAGCCTGGTCTACAGACTGAGACCTCCTGTCCAAAAAATCATACATAGAGTTTGAAAGGATGTAAAAATTCACAGAAAACTTTGAGACCCCCGATCTCAATTAAGGCTAGCAAGTTCACAAGCTCACAGGTTTCAGGAACTAGCTGGACACAAAAAGAAGAAACTAGTCAGAAGGCAGGTCAGCTAGGTCGTTCTGGGAACTGAATCACCGCAAAGGATAGCAGAAGTAAAGATACAGGTTGGCTGAGTTACTCTGGGAAATGGCTGCTTACAATGGTCAGGATAAGGTCACATTCCTGAATAGAATGTGTACAGGATGTTTCCCACTCCCCACCCTGGTCTGTGACTAGCAGAATAACAGGTTGAAACTTTGCAACTGTTTTTATGATGTGGGTTGAGATTTCTCCATCGTCCCCTCCTGGCTTCCCCCTTCACCCCCCTGGTTTGCGGTTTTCTCCTTTAAATACTCCTTGCTCCCAAGCCTTGGGGTCGACACTCCCCTTGTGAGCCTCGGCCTCAGCCGACTGATACTCCGAAATCTGGAAATAAAGCCTTTTGTGGTTTGCAGCAAGTTCGGTCTTGCGTGATTCTGGGTGGATGTAATCTCCTGTGGCTTGAGTGGGGGTCTCCCCACTCTGGGGGCCTTACAAGTTCTATAATTTGGGAAGGGAAGATGTTTATAAGTAAGTGAACAGAGATAACCCCAACTCTCTTTCTTGTTTATTCAATCTTTTACAAAGACTTAATGGTGATTTATGTGTCTCTACAAGTGTGTGTGGGGTATGTGCGTGCGTGCGTGCGTGCGTGTGTGTGTGTGTGTGTGTGTATACACACACAAGTGCAGATACCGTGGGAGAGCAGAGACATCAGAGCCCCTGGAGTTTACAGGCTTTGTGACCCTCCCCAGAAGCACGCAGAGAACTGAACTCAGATCCCATGAAAGAGCAATATAAGCTCTCACCAGCTGAGATGTGTTTTGTGAGGGTCTCAGGTAAACCAAGATGGCCTTGAATTAGCATGTAACTGAGGATGACTTACAAGGATACTACTTCCACCTCCACACGTGTGCATGGTACACACAGTGCTGAGGATCAAAGGCAGGACTGGGAAGTGCACAGTAAGCAAATAAATCACAAAGGGAGCAAGTCCCTATGTCCCTACACTGGTGGCTCTTGCAAGAACTGGAAAATAACTATCAAGATAAAGCAGTCTCAGCACTCTGGAGAGTGAGGTAGGGAGATCAAGGGAAGAAAAGGACACATTTAAGGCATCCTGGTGCTAATCCTGTAGTGGTTTGAGTAAGAAAGGCCCTCATAAGCCCATAGCTTTGACTGCTCAGTCACTAGGGAGGGGCACTGCTTGAGGAGGATTAGGAGGTGTGGCCTTGCCCACGAGGCATCTCACTGGATATGGGCTCTGAGGTTTGAAAAGCCCACACCAGGCCAATGTCCTGCCTGCAGACCAGGGTGTGGCTCTCAGCCACTGCTCCAGCATCCTGAGTGATCTCAGGCTTCCACCGTGACCCTGCCCTGCCAACAATGAACTGACTCTCTGAAACTATAAGCAGGCCCACAGTGAAATTCTTTCATTTATAAGAGTTGCCTTGGGGCGGGCGGTGGTGGCGCACGCCTTTAATCCCAGCACTTGGGAGGCAGAGGCAGGCGGATTTCTGAGTTCGAGGCCAGCCTGGTCTACAGAGTGAGTTCCAGGACAGCCAGGGCTACACAGAGAAACCCTGTCTCGAAAAACCAAAAAAAAAAAAAAAAAAAAAAAAAGAGTTGCCTTGGTCATGATGGGACATCACAGCAATAGATCAAAAACTAAGACAAACCCCTTCCACTAAATAACAAATAATACAGCTAATATTCTTTTTCTAAAGAAAAAAAACAAAACCCCACATTTACTTATTATATATACAGTGTTCTGCCTGCATTTACTTATTATATGTACAGTGTTCTTCTGCAGGCCAGAAGAGGGCATTGGATCCCATTACAGATGGTTGTGAGTCACCATGTGGTTGCTGGGACTTGAACTCAGGACCTCTGGAAGAGCAGCTGGTGCTCTTAACCTCTGAGCCATCTCTCCAGCCCTACAGCTAATATGCTAAAGAGCTAAAAGTAAACATACTGTTTTTAAACTGTTAAGTGTTTTATAGTATCTTGACATAAACAGTCCTATATGTGCCCCAAATGACAGTAAACTGAGGGCAAACGAGATGTGTCTACCGGTAAACTGCTTCACGCTCACACTTGACCTCCAGTTTGACCCCAGAACCCATGTGGAATGAGGCTCCACAGCCTCGTGTTCTGATCTTCATACAGACCACGGAAGCATGCCTGTACACACACATACTAAAAAGACTAATTAAAATTAATATTTTTTTTAAAAAAAATTAATAGATTGGTCAAAAAAAAAAAAGACAAGAAACAAGTGGAAAGAATGGAAGAAACAAAGGATATAAAGTTAAGACTGGAAAATTAGTGAAGGGGTAGGTAGGATCAAAGGAGTCTAAAAAGTATTGAGTGCGTTGTAGGAAACAGTATATAAAAATAGGGAAACACGGGCTGGAGAGATGGCTCAGTGGTTAAGAGCACCGACTGCACTTCCAGAGGTCCTGAGTTCAAATCCCAGCAACCACATGGTGGCTCACAACCATCTGTAATGGGATCTGATGCCCTCTTCTGGTGTGTCTGATCACAGCAACTGTGTACTCACATTCATAAAAATAAATAAATCTTTAAAAAAAAAAATAGGGAAACAACTGAAGAGAATAAAGACACTTTCCAGAATTCTGCATTACTCAGCACAAGAACAGGCTCATGGATACAAAGTAACTCCACTCACAAAGAGCCATGCTGAATAAAGTACGCTACTGTAACATTTTAGCAAAAACAAAAAGGAAAGAGAACAAGAAGGCAAATACTCATGTTGTGATATGTGCCGAGCTTGTACACATTCACAGTTTGTGTGTGGAGGTCAGAGGACAACTTGTAGGAGTCAGTTCTCTCCTGCCACCTAGGTTTCAGAGATCAAACCCAGGCCATTGAGCTCTGTGGCAAGTGCCTTTACCCACTGAGCCATCTCACAGGCCTGAAAGGTGCATACGACAGACACACACATACAAATAAAATATGCAAATCTGTTTTTTTTTTAAACGTAGTGATATAAGTTGTCCCAGAAGCACAGGCAGTATGGTTGCTGGGACAACATTTCTCTATCTTTCATATTAGTAAGCTGATAATATCTAAAATAGAGCAATAAAAAAATAGGCAAAATAGGGTGGTGGTAGCGCACAACTTTAATCCCAGTGCTCAGGAGGCAGATCTCTGTGAGTTCAAGGCCAGCCTGGTCTACAAAGAGAGTTCCAGGGCAGCCATGGCTACACAGAGAAACCTTGTCTCAGAGGGGGAAAAAAAAAAAAGGCAAAATAGTTTTAATAAACACTGGCAGATAAATATGTTTTAAGTGATCAAGTGTGGTGGGGTATATCTTTAATCCCAGTACTCAAAAGGCAGAAAGGTAGGTGGATCTTTGCGACTTAGAAACCAGCCTGCACTATATAGCGAGTTCCAGGATAGCCAAGTCTACAAAGTGAAACCCTGTCTCAACAACAATAAAAAGGTAACATGGTTGCCAATGTAGAGTAAGTCAGAGTAAGAAAAGACTGAGCAGCTAGGCGTGGTGGAATCCCAGCAGAGACAGGCAGATTTTGGAGTCTGAGGCCAGCCTGGTCTAAAGAGTGAGTTCCAGGACAGCCAGAGAAACCCTGTTTTGAAAACAAAACACACACACACACAGAAAAAGAAAGAAAAGGAAAGGGGCTGGAGAGATGTCTCAGCGGTTAAAAGCACTGACTGCTCTTCCAGAGGTCCTGAGTTCAATTCCCAGTACCCATATGGTGGCTCACAACCATCCGTAATGGGATCTGATGCCCTCTTCTGGTGTGTGTGAAGACAGCGACAGTGTACTCATACATATAAAATAAATAAATAAATAAATAAGTTAAAAAAAAAGAAAGAAAAGAAAAGAGTAAGAATAGTTGGCTACAGAGTCTAGAGTCAGACTTGAGTACCCACACCCCTTAGCTGCTTGTTTTTTGTTTTTTTGTTTTTTGTTTCGAGACAGGGTTTCTCTGTGTAGCCCTGGCTGTCCTGGAACTGACTCTGTAGACCAGGCTGGCCTCGAACTCAGAAATCCACCTACCTCTGCCTCCCAAGTGCTGGGATTAAAGGCGTGCGCCATCACCACCCACCTAGCTGCTTGTTAAAACTGCACATCTACAAGAATCTATGCATATCCTCTCATATAGGTAAACTGTTGAATCATTTTTTTGTTACATATAATACCCAGGGGCAATCCTGGGCAAATAGCTGCCATACAGTAATGGTCAGAGAGTAACAACAAGGGGAAAAAAATCTACATGTTCAGTAGAGAAGTAAGGGTTTACCTTACACACTTGTGCATTTGCACACAAGTGCAGGTAGGTGCCTATGGGGCCTAGAGTCCTGGATCCCCTCGGAACTAGACACAGTATCAACCATTAAAATAAAGTCGGCAAATGAAGCAGAGGGGCTGACACCCAACACAGAAGTCAGAAAAGCAACCGATCCTGCATCAGGTGAGGAAAAGAAAACAGAGTCAGGACGACAGTCTGGAAATTTCATTGACCTATCTAAAGAATTTCAACAACTGTTCTCCAAACTGGGGCCAAGCTAATCCAAAATAATAACAATAACCACCACCTCCATCTCCATCCCCATCACCTCAAAAACCCATTCGAGGTTGTAAACTCTCTGGAGCTATAAGGACATCAAGGCGTTAGGTAACGGTTTCACTCACCTGCAGATCGATGTTTCTTCTCAGACACGCAGGGTTTTTGTTTGATCTGTAGACTTTTAACTTGCAATGAGTAAAGCGATTCAGGAGTCAGATGCTATCTCTGAAAGTCCAAGCGGAGGCTGCAATCCAGACTGAAGCCTCTCAGCACTCAGAGAGGTTTGGGGGGGTAGAGAAACTCCGGGTCCCCGGGGTATACAGGAAGCTGGTCTGTGAAGACAACACACAAGAGCTTCAGTCTGCGCCTGCGCACAAAACAGATGGCCCCAGCCTTTGTACTTGGCATTCAGGCTAAACCCGTAACTCTACTGAAAATCAAAATGTTCTTCAGATGTGGGTAACAGATGGTATTATATTTTCAGAACGGAAGTTATACAGAGGAACTATGACACCGACACTGATTTCAGAGTTTGCCTGAACTGGCCATCTGAACATGAATTCTGAGCACGTATCAAGGTGGCTCTGCTCCCAGCTGAAGTTAAACTGCCGTCTATCATTTCACACATAGATTTTTTGTTTTGTTTTGGTTCTGTTTTCTGAGGCAGTCCCTCTGTGTGGCTGGCTGGCCTCAAACTCAGAGATCTGCCTGCCTCTACATCCCGAGTCTTGTGATTGAAGACATGTGCCACCCATCGCCCAGCCTCAACAACATTTTAAGTCAGGTGGGGTAGCACATGGTTCTAATCCTAGCAACTTAGGAAACTGAGGCAGGAGGATGTAAGGTTTGACACCACACTTGGCTACCTGTCTCAAAAGAAAAAAAAAAAAAAAGCAACTAGAGGGCTGGAAAAATGGTTCAGTACTTAAAGAACTTGTACCAGCAAACATGAAGATGGGTGTTGAATTCCCCAGACTCTGTTATCTGTCAGGTGAGTGTGAGGGCTTGCCTGTAACTCCAGCCTCGAAAGGCAGAGAAGGAATCTCGGGAGCAAGAAACACTAGACTACCTAAGAGCTGTGGGACTGAGACCGTGTCTACATAAATAAAGTGGGAAAGCATGGGCAGCGGTGACTCCTGACATCATCGGAGGATCTCCACATTCATGCTCGCCAAGCGCATGTACACTCGTGTGCAAATGCATCCCACCCTGCCATACGTGCCCACACGTGACGAACAAGTATATACACTGAAAAACAGACATACACACATGCCAAACACACACAAACACGCGCGCGTGCGCACGCGCACACACGCGCACACACACACACACACACACACACACACACACACGGAAAGGGAAAGAAACTGGTATGGGCAGGCACTCAGGAGGGTGGAGGATCAGAAGTTCAAGGCCATCCTCAGCTACAGGGTGGGGTAGCCTGTGGTATAAAAGAAATTAGAGAGGAGCCAGGAGCAGTAGCACACAGTTTTAATTCCAGTACTTGGGAGGCAGAGGCAGGAGGATCTCTATGACTTTGAAGCCAGCCTGGTCTAAACATTGAGTTCCAGGACACCAGGGCTATATAATGAGACCCTCTCTTTTTTTGTTTTGTTTTTGTTTTTTGGTTTTTTTTTTGTTTTTGTTTTTGTTTTTTTGAGACAGGGTTTCTCTGTGTAGTCCTGGCTGTCCTGGAACTCACTCTGTAGACCAGGCTAGCCTCGAACTCTCGAACTCAGAAATCTGACTGCCTCTGCCTCCCAAGTGCTGGGATTAAAGGCGTGTGCCACCACCGCCCAGCAGAGACCCTCTCTTGAAAGAAACAAAGGGCTGGGAAGATAGAGCACCAGTTAAGAGAACTGGCTGCTCTTCCAGAGGACCCAGGTTCAGTTCCCAGCTTTAAATTTATTTAAAATTTATTTTTAAATTTTTATTTATTTATTTTTTTTAAGAAAACACATTGACTTGAAGAAGCTAGGGATTTAATCCCAACGAGGCCAAAATATACAGGAAATTACTTGGCTAATACTAACAACTCAGCTCTGAAACCTTTAGACGCCTAATATTTTACATAGACTTGGTTACTGTTGGAGAAAGCAAACGTAACTTCGGGTCCTGTGATTATATGCACATTCTGAGTTTAGCAAACATATCTCTATTCTGCATATGGCAAAATCTACTCGGAGTGGGGTATGGTAGGCATAATATTTTTTTTTTTGCTTTGTAAAGTTTAACCTTGGGTTATTCAAATGCTGATTTCTCTGCCCTCTTGTTTCAATCCAGACATGGCATTGTAAGGCTTATACCAAAAGTCTCCCGTCACAAGTTTGTGTAAACAGTTTTTACCGTTTACTCTCTGCCTGGTCAATAAATGCTGATCCCCTGATGCTAATAATTCTGATCTAAATGCTGACGGGGAGAGACATCTGCTAGTGAGAGGAGAGGAAGAGGGGGTGAGCCGGGAGGGCGGAGGAACTGGAGCCATGATGAAGGGGTCTGAAGAGCCGGATCAATAATAACATGCAAGTATCATGGGACGAGGCTGGGAGGTAGCCGGATTAGCACATAAAGATAATTTAATTGCTCAGCTATTTAACTGCTCAGCTATTGGGGTACAGTTTTAAATAAATCTTGGTTTTTCTCTAGCATAAGGCAAAGAACTACAACTGCTGGGTTAATCCATGGCTTACATTTATACTTAGAATAATTGATTTTCAGTGTATGGTGATGCAAGGGGCAGGCTTACTCTCTTACTTGGAGATGTACAAGCCATAGCTGTGCTGTGCTGTGCTGTGCTGTGCTGTGCTGTGCTGTGCTGTGCATTACCAAGCAGGTAATACACAGGGGAAACAGGTGGAGGCCACCATCAGGAAGGGGCTATCAGTAATCAGTATGACACCTATGGATATAACAAATCTGATGCGCCTGGCAGTGGTGGCGCACGCCTTTAATCCCAGCACTTGGGAGGCAGAGGCAGGTGGATTTCTGAGTTCGAGGCCAGCCTGGTCTACAGAGTGAATTCCAGGACAGCCAGGGCTACACAGAGAAACCCTGTCTCAAAAAAACAACAAAAAAAGAAGAAATGAAAAAAAGAAAAACCTGTGTTAAGGGGCTGGAGAAAGGGCTCAGCAGTCAAGAGTATGTACTGCTTGCTCTTCCAGAAGACTGGAGGTTGGGTCCCAGCAGCCACACTGAGCTGCTCTCAAGTAGATGTAATGCCCTCTTCTAGCTTCCGTGGGCATTCATAAACATGCCCACAACCTACAAGCACTTACATACACATAAATAAATAACTCTTTAAAAATAAAATCTTTAATGGCAAAAAATAAGAAAAGAAAAACATGTTTTACAAGAAGTGTGACAAGCTAGGCATTGTGGCGCACAACTTTAATCCCAGCACTCAGGAGGCAAAGGCAGGTGGAACATCCTAGTTTGGAGGCAGCTAATTCCAAAAACAGTCAGGGTTACACAGAGACACCCTGACTCAAAATAAATAAATAAATATATAAAGATGGTGATGCACCAGCCATAATAGTGCATGCCTTTAGTCCCAGCACTTGGGAAGCAGAGGCCAGCATAGTCTATACCATGAGTTCCAGGGCAAGCAGGACTATGAATGCAGACCATCATTTTGTTATTGCAAGGTTTTAAAGAATGACAAAAAATACTTAGAAGAAAATCTGTATGTTAACAAAAGCTATTTGGTATGGGATAAATCTAGACGAATTAGGAATCTTAATTTGGAGCTGAAGGGATGGCTCAGTGGTTAAGAACACTGTTCTTCCAAAGGATTCAAGTTCAATTCCCTACAACCACATGCCAGCCTACAACTATCTATAATTACACACACACACACATATATATATATATATATATATATATATATATACACATATATATACAACTATATATATACAAATATATATATATATATATATACACATATATCTATATGTATATATATACATATATATACAACTATAATTCTAGTTCCAGGGGAGCTAATGTCCTCTTTGGGCCTCTGCAGGTTCCATGTACACATACATTCAGGCAAAATACACACACACACACATACACACACACACACACACACACACACACACACACCTGAGTGCTAAATTAAATAGTTTTCTTGACCTCTCTGTGCTAAAGGTGGGACAATGAATTTCCTTCCTGATTCAATCCTATCTGCAGCAGTGGAAAATACCTTCTAAGGGGTATTCCGTAAATTTGGGGCTACTCAAAAATAACTCATCTGAAGTTTTTCTAAGTAGTAAGTTAATGCCTACTGATGTGTAGGCATCCAATAACGAGTTATTGGAAATCTTTACTATAAAAAAATATTTTTCAAAGGAACGTTGGTTTCATTTTCTACTGTGATGTACGCTTGTTTTAATTAAAAAAAAAAACTTTCAAAACTATTCTCTCAATTTATCCTTTTCCCTTTCCTGTTTTCCAGAAAAAAAAAACGTTTTTATTTTTAAAATAAATGCGCCAAGTATTAGAAAACCACCCTGTATTTTCACAAACTTCTCGCTCACTGGAAACAAACCAAAACACACCCTTACACGTATGCTCACCCCACCCGCAAACCCACCCCGATTTCTGATCTCCCCAGCCCCCATCCACCCAAGTTCTCAGCTCCACTGTCACAGCAGGAGATTTTCGCCCCTTCAGGCATCCTCACACTTGCAGGTGGGTAAACCCTCCCCTACAGCTCCTTTGCCTTTACTTGGTCTGGGAAATCCTGGTCCTACAGACCCCCAAATCAAACTCACCCAGACAAAGGCGATGATGGCGAGCCACGCAGCCTGCGCCTGCGCACTCCTTCAATGAGCTAGCACTCCCAGAGGTCTCTGCCCACCAGGGCTCTGAACTAGAGGATCTTTTTCCATTCTATTCTTTTTTTAAAAAGAGAAAAAAAACTGAACTACATTTCCCAGAAGTCTCATGGGTTCTAGTTAGTCTCCGCCCCCTCCCCGGAACTTTTCCCAGTGGATAAATATTAAGAGGACGGGACTAAAATACTACTGCTTTTACTCTGTGTTACCGGAAAAGACAGTGGTGTGCCAAGGTGTATATTGAGTGCAGCTCAGACTCACTCAATAGGCTTTTCCTCGCCTCCGAGTCGAGATTCCCAGGAAAGCGCAATCCTCCGGCTTTAGGCCATATTGGCCACCGTGGCGCACTGCTGAACTACATTTCCCAGAAGGCAACTCCTATTTCTGTCACCTCAGACTGAAAGCTGGTAGCTCTGTAGAGAGTTGTATCAGACTCTGGTGTTAAATTCAAAAGCGATTGCTACAGTATCACAAACTGATGACAGGTGAGAATTGAGACTGACAATAGGGTTCAGACGAAAAAGGCAGGAAAATGAGCTGTTGTGAAATTGTAACTTTTGTAGCCCTATGTCCTAGGGTTGTGACACTATGTAACAATATGGAAAGCAGTAGGTAGGTGAGCTGTGGGGTCCTGTGGGATGTTTGTCAATGTGTAACCTGGGTGTTAGGTCCCAAAACTGGGGCAAAAGGCTGAGGTGCCTATTAGCATATCAAAGCAGCTGATGTCCACCGGTCTCGTAGACCTGATGAAAGTGTTACAGCTCTGAAGGGAAAGCTATCCTGGCAGTTGGAAGCCAAGGAATACCACAAAGTCACACTCTACAACAAACCTCAGGAGGGATTTATTAGGAAAGACTCAAGAAGTTGGCCGCCTCTGCTTAGGAGAGAAGCAGCAAAGAACAGAGCAGGAGGCAGGCACTATAAAGGGTTTGGGGGGAGGTGGTGGAGCTTCCCGGGCGGCCTGGGACTGGTGGGATTCTGTGGCCTAATCTTGCCCAGCCCCTTTTATCCTCTACATACCTGATCTTGTCAGCCTATATCTCCAGGGTCTGAAAACAGCCTTTAGAGTGGTAGAGCAGTCTAGAAGGCAGGTCCTGGACACACAAGGGGCTGGGTCAGGCCATTAGATTAGTCTGGGGGTGGGTCCTGACTCTCCCATTAGGTTTGGGCAGTCTATTCCCAGCTTCTCTTCTCTATAGAATCTAGCCATTTTGGCCAGGCCAGCCCTTTTGGTTTTCTGCTTTCCTAGCCTCTAGGCTTCTGCTTCTCCCCCTCTTCTTAAATGGCCCAGTGTGAAACCAAAGCAAGACCCATCATGAACTGTGAGACCTTTACCTGCTAAACTCCTGGGCCTGGGATATATTGTTAGCATTCTGTCTAAACTCTATCCTTGCAGTTACTAGGCAACAGCCTGATATGCTCTGCCCCACAGTTACCTGGCAACAGCCAGATAGGCCTACCCACTATAAAAGGGGCTGCTTGCCCCTTCCTCTCTCTTGATCTCCTGCTCTCTTGCCTTCTTGCTCTTCCTCTTTTCCCTCGCCCCTTCCCCCTTCCCTTCCTCCTCTGTCCATGTGCTCATGGCCTGTATTCTTCTCTCTCTCTCTCCCTCTCTCTCTCTCTCTCTCCCCCCCCCACTACACTCTTAGCTCCCCTCCCCATGCCTTGAATAAACTCTATTCTATTCTATTCTATACTATACTGTCCTGTGACTGGTCCCTCAGGGGGAAGGCATGCCTCAGCATGGGTCCGCTGAGACATCCCTTCCCCCACACCTCACCACACCCCCATAGACCATATTTTATCTCTTTATCTTTTTATAAGCACATCATATATGACTGCCCTTATGCCTTACCAATATGTGTCTTCCCAGGTAACCTTCCATATGATCCATTCCCACACTTACCCACCACCCACACAGCCTTGAGCCCAGGACCTCCCACTTTTCTGTCCAGATTCTAACAGCCAATTATAGCTACAGCTGTTTTCTATCAACCCTAACCCTTCCCCATAAAAGGAACTTCGAGAGCCAATGAGAAGCTGTTGTCTGAAATCCTGACTTTGGGAGAGGCAGTCTACTTGAAGGCTTAGATTTTTTTTTCAAAACCTACTTTATTTTGGGTTCTTAAACACTTCAACCTCCCTTCTAGCCCACCAAGCCGAGGTAGGGGATGAAGAAAGGTAATAGGAAAAAGGAGTTGTCGATCTGTTTAGAAGTAGTTCCTCAGGGAAATCCCATTCTTCATTGTCAGGATTTCAGCAGTCCAGGTCAATAGCGAACACCAAAAAATTAATCAACAGTGGCAGCAAGATCCAGCAAAACCTGAAAGGCTCCGTGAAATCAGCACTCAGTCAGGGAGAGCGGCCAGCGTCAGCCAGAATGCCAGGAGAAGTCCTTTGATGCATTTCCCTCTATGAAGTGAAGACCAGCGAAGCCTTGCTTGCATAGCATAGGAATTCACGAGGTTCCTCTCACTGTTTGTGGGGTTCCATTTATATTCTTTCTAAACATCATGCACCCTCTGAGGAGTCTGTGTTTACCAAATCATCACGTGCCCTCTCACAAGACAGCTTCCAGAAAAACACCCCATGGCCCACCTGAGTTGGTAAAGAAAGTAGAAATTTCCACTTCATGGCAAACAATTTTCCAACCCAGCTACCTCTCCAGCAGTCGTTTACAGTGTTTGAGTTCTTTGAGACAAAAGCTCATGCTGCCAAGCCTGGCCTCAAAGGCCTGTGTAGCCTTGAACCCCTAATGCCTCTATCTGGATCTTATAAGTTTGGGAATTACAGTTCTGTTTTACTTGTAAGTTTTGATTATCATAAATCTTGGTGTGGATCTGTTTGAGTTCCTCTTTTTTTTTAAGTTTTTTCTTTTCTTTCTTTCTTTCTTCCTTTCTTTTCTTTTTCTTTTTTTTTTTTTTCGAGACAGGGTTTCTCTGTGTAGCCCTGGCTGTCCTGGAACTCACTCTGTAGACCAGGCTGGCCTTGAACTCAGAAATCCGCCTGCCTCTGCCTCCCAAGTGCTGTGATTAAAGGCGTGTGCCACCACCGCCTGGCAACTTTTTGTTTTTTTGAGACAGGGTTTCTCTTTATAGCCCAGGCTGTCCTGGAGCTCACTCTGTAGACAAGGCTGGCCTCGAATTCAGAAATCTGCCTGCCTCTGCCTCTCAAGTGCTGGGATTAAAGGTGTACTCCACCTTTAATTCTAATAATTCTATTATTAGAATTCTAATTTTAGGAGTCCAGTGATTCCAATCAGGATGGTCTTCTAAAGCTTGTCAACTGTTGAAATTAAGAGGCAAATATATTTTTGATATATGCTTTGGTATATAGAGAATTTGTACAAATAATTTTTCACAGAAGACATTTTGGGACAGATCTCCCTATGTACATAGCCCAGGGTGACCTTAAACTCCCTATGCAGCCCAAGTTGGCTTCATGTTTCTTCTGATCCACTTACTCAGCCTCCCAGTGCTGCAGTTCCAGACATCACCATGCCAACTCAAGGTCTTTGTTGATAAAATTGTCTAATCTTGAGGTCAGAACAGAATATTGAATCTAGAAACATGAATGAATTCCCGGAGGACTGATGATTGTGGCAGTATCCCTGGTCAATGGGAAAATCATGGATGACTGAAAAAAGAAAATAGGCATCTGATGTCATCATTGATTTAAGAATTGCAGTGTTTCTGCAGGAAGCAAACTTTTGTATAAGAAGAGACAGAGAGACAGAGAAACAGACACAGAGACACTGTGAGCTGGGTATGGGCTTTTGAAACCTCAAAGCCCACCTTCCAGTAACACACCTCCTTCAACATGGCCATATCCCCTACTGCATCCCTGGCAGTTCCATAAACTAATGACTAAGCATTCAATTGTATGAGCCTATGAGCCAGCTCAGTCAAACCACCATAGCTCGCAAACCGAAGCTTCCCTTCCCTCTAAAAGGCCCGGTTAGTATAATACCTATCACTGGGGTAGACTACAGGCAGTGCTTCCTTAGCTCAGTTCTACTTTGTGTGACTTCATATTTTTATAACATCAATTTTATTACTTCTTTCTATATCGATAGGACTGTGGCAGCTTTACAATTAATAAAGAAGTGAGGTAAATCGTGTTGTCCTTATTTTCTGACGAGAAAACCTTGATTAAACAGATGTAGTGTTTTAACTTCAATGTCTTTTTAAAAGATTTAACATACGAGTGCTCTGTTTCATATACATCTGTAGGCCAGAAGAGTGCATCAGACCCGCTTATAGATGATTGGGAGCCATTATATGGTTGCTGGGAATTGAACTCTGGAAGAGCAGCCAGTACTCTTAATCGCTGACCCATCTCTCCATCCACAACTTTAATGACTTTAAAACCGTCTATTTCAGACCAACTGATTTGTTATCTTCTGGACATATCTATCTATCTATCTATCTATCTATCTACCTATCTATCGAGACAGACATATATGTATATGTATATATATACATATATATACATATATATGTATATATATGGAGAGAGAGAGAGAGAGAGAGAGAGAGAGAGAGAGAGAGAGAGAGATGTACGCTGTCCTGAACACATATATCTCCTGGATATATATCTATATCTATCTCTATCTCTATCTCTATCTATCTATCTATCTATCTATCTATCTATCTATCTATCTATATCTATATCTATCTATCTATATATATATACAGGTATATTTATTGGTTATGAAAATCACTTCAGATACAGATGCTTTCTCCAAGTGTTCCACTGTAGTTTTTAATATAACTATCCCTCAGTAGCCAAAGATGACCCTGATTCTCCTGCCCCACCTGAGGGCTAGCATTAGAAGCATAGGGGGATCCAAGGTGTGGTCCTGCAATCCACCCTTTCAACCTACAGGATCTGCTAATGAGTTCCAATCCAAATGCACTTCCAGAACAAGTCATACGTCTGCCGAGGAGAGCTGTTCCTGCACACTTCTCAGAGGCACTAGGCCTCCCAGAAGTGGCCAAGCAAAGGCTTAGCTCTCTGAGGAATTGAGATAACTTTTCTCCTTCAATATATATATTTTTTCCCTGTTGCACTGAATTACATTTCTAGACGTCTTAGCCCCGTGAATATGCAAATCACACTCCGCCCCCTACCAGTTCTCTGTCCCTTTCCTGACGCTGTCTATCCGCTACAGATAGTACCGAAGGACCGGGAAATCAACAAATTTCTAACTTTTTGGAATGATTTTAAATGCACAATGGAAGCTGATACAGGGCTCCGTGTAGCCTCAGGGATCCGTTTCGATTTGGCGGGGTCGTCCGCTGGTCCACCACACAGCGAAATCATTAGAAGCCCCGCCCACCGGGAGCCATCTTATCCGCCGCGTTGCCTCGGACTACATTTCCCAGAAGGCTCCCTGGCTTCTCGCGGGAAGATCACGTGCCTGGCATGACCTCAGAGCTTTGCTGGCAAGAGGGGAGGTGCACTGAAGGATTGCAGGGCTTGGGAAGCTTGGAAGGAAGGCCCGTGGTGCGGAACCCGCGAGGAGGCGGGGCGAGCACCGAGGCTGGGCTTTGTGTGGCGGAGGAGTTGAAGTCGGAATTGTGCGGCTAATTTGTGAACAGTGATCGCGGCGCTAAGGGGCTGTCCTGGTGATGAGCATCAGTCTCTGCTAACACCGTGGCGGGCACCACCCGTCGGTGAGTGGGAGCGAGCGAGCGAGCGAGCTGGGGACACGTGCTACCCGTATTGTGTGTGGATGTGGAGAGCTGCTGACTGGTTGAGCGTTCTGTCCCTGTAGGGGTGTGCGACTGTGTGATGTTGTGACCACGTGCAACACAGTGCAGGCGCAGGTACCTGTGGATTCTGGGGAGTCAAAGTGCAGTTGTACGTAAGTTACCTTTTGAGTCCCGAGTGGGTCGTCCTCTTGGCTTCTCGTAGGTAGGCTTCCGATAGCTGAATGTCTCTGTCGTGGGTCAGTGGGTTGTGAGTGTGAAGTTTTGGATGTGTTATCTCTTGCGTGCGTTCTTCTTTAGCCTTTCCTCATTTTAGAAGTTCATGGGAGCGCTATCATGCTTTCCTTTGTCTCTTACTATGTTTATTTTGACACCTGTGTGGGACTTCCCCGTGTTACGTGGGATAGCGGCTTCATTGAGTTTTTGTGTTCTTTGATATCTCAGGATCTGAAGTATACTGCACGTATTCATCTCGACTACTGATTGGTAGCCATATGCGTATTTCCAACTGCTTTTAATGTTTACTTTTTAAAATTCACGTTACGTCCCAATCTCAGCCACTCTCCTTCCTCTCTTCCCAGTCTCACCCTTACAAATCCCTCCCTCCATCTCCCCCTCACCTTGTCCTCAGAGAAGGAGAGCCCGTCTGGGTACCACCCCTCCCTGGGACATCTAGTCCCTGCAGGTCTAGGTACATCTACCACTGAGGCACAACCAGACAGTCCAAGTAGGGGGCAATCCGATGGCAGGGAACAGAGACGGAGACAGCCCCCACTCTGCTTCTTAGGAGATCCACATGAACACCAAGCTCACATTTGTCACAAATGTGTGTGTGTGTGGGGGGGTGTCTAGGTTCACCTCCTGCATGCTGCCTGGTTGGTGACCCAAGAGCCTCTGTGAACCTCCATGATCCCAGGTCAGTTGGCTCTGGGTCTTCTTGTGGTATCCTCGACCCCTCTGACTAGCTTATTTCTATTCCCCACTCTTCCACAAGACTCCCTAGGCTTCGCCTGCTGTTTGGCGTGGCTCTCTGCGTCTGCCTCCATCCGCTGCTGGATGAAGTCCCTCAGGAGAAAGTTAAGCTAGGTTCCTGTCTGCAAGCATAAGAATATCATTAATAGTGTCAGGGGTTGGCGCTCTCACATGGGATGGGTCTCAAGTCGGGGCAGTCACTGGATGGCTGTTCCCCCAGTCTCTGCTCCATCTTTACCCCTGCACTGTTTGTCGATAAGACAAACTTTAGGTTGAAGTTTTTGGGGTGGGCTGATGTCCCCCTGCCTCTGGAAGTCCTGCCTATGTATACAGGAGGTGACCACTTCAGTCTCTATATCCCCCCCTAGTGGGAGTCTCAGTTAGAGTCTCTCCATAGATTCCCTGTATCCTCTCCCTTCCCAAGGCTCCAGCTAGTCACCAGAGATACCTACCTTCCCCCACTGGTTTCCGTTCTCCCATCCCTCTTGCCCTCCCCACTTGATCGCTGTCCTGTTCCCCTCCTCACCCAGTCTCCTATCCAGTTCCCTCTGTCCATCCATCTCCGATAACTATATAGTTTCCCCTTCTGAGTGAGAGTCACGCATCCTCCCTTGAGACCTCTTTATTACCCGGTTTCTTCTGTTCTGTGGATCATAGCATGGTTGTCCTGCACTTTATGGCTAATATCCACTTGTTAGTGAGTACATACCATACATGTCTGTCTGACTCTGGGTTACCTCACTCAGGATGATGTTCTCAAGTTCCATTCGTTGTCTGCAAAATTCGTTTGACGTGTACAGCGCTTATTCACCTCATAAAATAGTAGACATCTGAGTGTTTCTAACTTTTAATCTTATAAACATACTGCCATATCTGTTTTAAGTTTTTAATTTTTGTTTTTTGTTTTTGTTTTTGTTTTGAGACAAGGTCTCACTGTATAGCCCTCGATGGCCTGGAGCTTGCTTTGTATTCCAACCTGACCTTGAACTCACAGATCCACCTGCCTCTGCTTCCTGAGTGCTGGGATTAAAGGTGTACACCTCCACAGCAGACATAATTACCTTTACGATAGGATGCAGGGGCTTCGGTTTCCAACCCTCTTCTGACTGATGCAAAACCATGCCAGACCAGAGCACTTAGAGTTCTTTGCAACCACCCCCCAAAAAAAAGGTTTAAAACGTGATTTAAAATAAAAGATTTAATTTTAAGCTGTGTATGATCGTGCAGGTCTTTAATCCCAGCACTCTGGAGGCAGAAGCAGGTGGATCTCTGGGAGTTCAATACCAGCCTGGTCAACAGAGTGAATTCCAGGACAGTCGGAGCTATGTAGAGAGACCTTGTCTCACGAAACCAGAGAGAGAGAGAGACAGAGAGACAGAGAGACAGAGAGACAGAGAGGGAGGAGGGAGAGGCGAGTTAGTCTGTGAAGGCCTGGATGGTCTCAAACCTCTGGCAGTGCTATTGTCTTAGTCTCAGGAGTGCTGAGATTTCAGACACTTGTAGCACGATCTACCCTATACAAGGATTGTATTGTGCCAGGAAGTGTTCATGAACCCCAAAAGACTGTTAAGGTCTCTTTATTATAAGCTGGGGCTTGGACGGATGCTCCTCCAACCCAATCCTGTCACAACAGGATGAGAAGGGAAGGCAGGGCATCCTTGAACCCTCAGCAGGACAAGTTTTTATAGGAAAATAGAAGCAAGTGGGGGGGGGGGGTGTGAGGGAAGGGGTGTCCTGTCTGGCAAGCATCTAATAGAATGACTACAAGCTGACGGGTGCTCGAAGCAAGACCGTAAACAATCACAAACGGTCTGAAAGTACATCTGAAATAACCAGACTAATCTTCGATTAACTGTTGCTAAGAAGTAGCTGGGGAGTAACTCTGGGGTATGGGCCAAGAACAAGCTGTGGGTCCTTCCTGGTACGTGGGTACAGCTTGGGTTCAGCTACAGGTCAAGTTCTCAGGCCTTTTTTTTTTTTTTTTCTTTGCGTTAAGATGGAGGCCGGGCCGGGCAGTAGTGGCACACGCCTTTAGTCCCAGCACTTGGGAGACAGAGGCAGACAGATTTCTGAGTTTGAGGCCAGCCTGGTCTGCAGAGCGAGTTCCAGGACAGCCCAGGCTATAAAGAGAAACCCTGTCTTGAAAAACAAAAAAAAAAAAAAAAAGAAAGAAAGATGGTGGCCAGTCCCAAGATGGAGTAGGTTTGGCCTCTCGGTATATCTTCATGTGTGTGCTTATGTGCACATGAATGAATCAGATTGCTCAAACCCCTCCTGTTCCATTGCAGAGCCTGGCTCTCTGAAGTTAGGGGTGTTGAGATATTTGTTCCTCCCGCTTCAGACCCCTCAAAGTGTGGGGTGAGCACATGGGAAATGACTGCTGAGAGTGCTGAGTCAAGTGGGGTCTCACTGTTCTTTGTCTCCCCCAGGTCTGCCCTGTTCCAGAAGAGCAGCACAGAGGACCTGCCTCTATCAAAGCCATGGCTCAGGTGAGGCATAGCCTTTTTATACTCGAATACGGTCATTTTGTATCTAGTACAGATAAACGTCTGCTTTCTTCAACTTGGTGCTTTTTTGGTGTTGAACAAGGAGCCCTCAGTTTAGGTATAAAGATAATCTTGCCCTTGCTCTAAAGCTATGGTAGCTCCTTCATGCTAGGGTCTTCATGATGAGCAAGGGCTACCTGCTAAGGCAGTGGTTCTCCATCTTCCTAATGCAGTGCCCCTTTAATACAGTTCCTTGTGTCGCTTGTGCACTGTGTGGAAGCATCGCCTGTCAATAAAAAGCTCATGGCCTATTAGCAAGAGGGAGTAAATAAAAGGCGGGAGTTCCAGGAGAGAGAATGGAACTCTGGGAGATAGTCAGAGGCTAGAGGTTTGCCCTGGAATCTGAGGAAGTTGGATACAAACATAAATTAGTTTAAATGGGTTGTATAAGTTACAAGCTAGTTGGAGAACAAGCCCAAGCTTATGGCTAGGCACTTATTCATAAATAAGTCTCCGAGTTGTCATTGGGGAACTGGGACGTGGGTAGAAAAGCCTGTGGTTACAGTTCCTCCTGCTGTGGTGACCCTGACTATAAAATTATTTTTATTGCTACTTTACAACTGTAGCTTTATACCACAGTTATGAATCATAATATAAACCTCTGTGTTGTCTGATCTAAGGTGACCCCTGTGAAAGGGTTGTTAGAACCTCAAGTGGGTTGTGATCCACAGGTCGAGGACTGCCACTTTAAAGGAAAGAGTCTCTAGTACACGAATTGAAAAAGCTTTGGGGGTAGGAGTGACCGTCCAGCTGTTAAAGGTCCAGCTAGGCTCGTACCTGAACAATAGTGGCACAAGCCTTCAATCCTAGCACTCCCGAGATGGAAGCAGAAGATCACTGTGGTTTCAAGGCTAGCCTGATCTGCATAGGAGACAGAAGCAGAAGATCTCTGTGGTTTCAAGGCTAGCCTGATCTGCATAGTGAGTTCCAGGCCAGCCAGGACTACCTAATGAGATCCTGTCTCAATCTGACAAGAACAAAAAGAAGAAAGAAAATAAGTGTGATAGTTTTGCTCAGTTTCACTCTTAGAACATTTGTGTCTCCTGGTTTATGAGCCCTTTAGGTTTGGAAGTGACTGCTGGTTGGTCAAAGCTCTGTGAAGCCTTAACTCTTCTGTCATTGAGCTTTTTTTTTTTTTTTTTTTTTTTTTTAAAGAAAATCTTATCTGTTTATCTGATTGGGTGTTTACCTGCAAGTATGTCTGTGCACCCATGTGTGCATACCTGTAGAGGCCAGAAGAGGTGGTCAGATCCCCTGGGACTGGATTGTTGGTATGGGGACCTGAACCCAGGTCCTCTGGAAGAGCAGTTAATGCTCTCAATTGCTGAGCCATCTCTCCAGCCCAATACCATTGTATTAAACAGCATCTTTCTCCATCATTTTCCTGAAGCCCAGTAACAGGGACAATTAACAGGTTGGCAGCAGCGTTTATAAATACCACAGTTTCCCATGGTAAGGTTATCTTTTTGTAGAGCAAGTGGCCATGCCACCAGAGAGGCGTAAGAACTGGGGGCGCTGAGTGAGCTCAGACCCCGGGAACTTCATAGATGTGAGAACAGCAGGAGTTGAGCTGCTTCCTGTCCATCTCTGAACCTGCTCTGCAGCCCTGACACCCACTGAGGGGACCGTGGGCAGTTGTGTAATGTAGCACCTGGACTTTCCCTACGGAAACAGATCACCAGTAACCTCTCAGACTCAGCTAATAGGAAACTAACATCTACCCCCTAAATCCCATCCCACTCCCCAAGGTTTATATTGTCCTTGTCCACATGGAATAAAGCACACAAGCTATTACACGGAGGATCGTCTTTACTGAGTAGCAACACTTGGAAGAGTTCACTCTCCCGAAGCATTCACCGCTGGATCTTGGACCCCCCCCTGGCTGGCTAGGCTCTTGTCCCCTGCAGAGGCTCACATCAGAGTGGCAGCAGCTCCAGCTGCCACCTCTGCCACTGCTGCTGTAGCTGATGAGAGACCCAGGACTCCGGCTCTGGGCGCCCAAATCTCTTCACTTCCCTTCTAAGAGTTGTAACACTCCTGGGCTTCCTGGCTGGCCAGGAGCCCCGTGGAACCTATTTCTCCCCATCTCTGACCGTCCTTCTCAGTCTGGTCTACAGAGGCATCGCACGGCAAGTGAGTAGAAGGCAAGAGGGAAGTGAGTAGACAGTGGACAACATCTTTTGTGTGTGATTGTTTTCAGACAGTTTTTCTAGGCTGGCTTCCAACTGATGATTTAACCGAGGATAACCTTGGGCTCATCCTGTCTTCACCTCTCAGGTGATGGGCTTACAGGCATGTGCCACCAGCCGAGTTTACATAGAGCTTGGGGGATGGAACCCAGAGTTTCGTGGCTACTGGGCGAATGCTTTGCCAAGTGAGCTTTGCCCCCGTGTCTCTGTCAGCACTGTGTGCATTCAGCCAGAAGAGGGTGTCGGATCCCCTCAAACTGCAGTATAGGTGGTTGTGGGTACTCAGAACCAAACTCAAGTTTCCTCAAAGAGCAGCAAGTACCTTTAACTGCTGAGCCTCTCTAGCCTGTCGGTGCCTTTCTAACTGGTCGAACACATCATCTTCTTCTGGAGATAGAGACCCCTCCCATCCCTCAGGGTCCGTGCCCCCATCCGATCTGTTTACTCTCTAGATGCCTGCCGCTGCTTTCCTCAAACTTTATCCCTTCCCTGGGCTTTCCTCGATAGTCTCCTGTTGGCTTCTGACTCTTTCCTGCATCCCAGGCCTTTTTAGGTTTACTCCCTCATCTTGGTTGACTACATCCTCCGGTAGTTTCCCAGGAACCTGTACTTGAATCCTCGCACATCTGGGATTGTACACTCAGAACGAAAGACAGTTACAGACTTCCAGGTCAGAGTTTGTTTTTCTCCACTGGGTACTAAATTGTTTCTTCTGTACAGAAGTCTTAAGAATCCCGTTACTCCTCTGCTTCCTGATGCCTTTCCCATAGCCTGCTGTCTTTCTGGATGCTTCTAATGTCCTTTTTTTTCTTCTACCCTGAGGACCATCTGGTGAGAATGCCTTGAGGCTTTGTGTGAGTCATTTAGTGCAGAGGTCTGTGCTGTCCCAGCTTCCTGTGGATAACTAGGAATTCATTCCAGCCCAGGTGGCTTCGTCTGGAGGAAACGGTGCCACAGAAGCACCGTGGTTTGGTCATAGGCCTTCCCTGTGATTTCAGACATTATTCTCACTGCATTTGTTTGGCTTGTTCTACCTTAGTCCTTCTCTGTTGTTTTTCCTACATAGAAACAACCCCTCCTCTTCTTCCTCGCCCCCCTCCTGCTTCCCCGCTTCTATTAATCAAGCAATATGCGGGTGTTGTTCCAGGTGTCAGTGCTGTTCCATGATGTGTACATAGACTTCTCTCAGGACGAGTGGGAGTGCCTGACTGAGGAGCAGAGAGACTTGTACAGAGATGTGATGTTGGAGAATTACAGCAACCTGCTCTCAATGGGTAAGGACGTCTGTCCACACTAACTCTGATTTGCCCTTTGGTGGGGCTGTTTCCTCCTTTCCAAGTATTCTCAGGCTGCTTACCTGCTTTTGAAAAGGCCATCAGACTTCTATATCCTAGTTCCACAGAGTGTTTCGGGTATCGTAGAGTTAGCAACGGGAAGCTGTGCAGTGTGGTCGCTCATGCCTGTAATTATAGCACTTAGGCGGCTGAGACAGGATTGCAGCTGCTAGTTCCAGGCCAGACTAGGTTCCATGAGACCCTGTCTCAAAAAGTAAAATATGAAAGTAAAGAAGAACCAAAAGTAGTCGAGCATGTTGGCACATACTGGTAGTCCCAGTGCTTGGGAGGACGAGGCAGGCAGAGCTCTGTAAGTTCTAGGCCAGCCAGGGCTACAATGGGAGCCTCTCTTTAAAAACCTGGAACGGAAAGAAAGCTGTGTGGAGTTACAGAAGGCATCCCGGCCGGGGATTCTTTGTTCGTTAAGTGTGCTTTACTTTTCTGTCACCCTACCTGTGATGTGTACTCTGGATCCAGTTCCTTTCAAGCTTCTTTGAAAGGTTTTAGATGCAGGTCTGGGGGACACTTGGATGGATTGTTGGGTGTAAGAAGTTTTTTAGAAGAGTTATTAACACATGCACAGACGGACACCAGCATGACTGAGACTTCAGGCCCCAGCACCACAGACAGCACAGTGTGAGCACTAAGGAGTGACAGAGTCTGGTTCCAGCTTCCAGATCTCTGAGGAAGGGGGAAGATTCAGCAAGAGCCTGAAGACGGGCCCCTGATTTCTCATCAGGTAGTCCGGGAAGAGAAGTGTGGCTCCCTGTAGGTACTTTGGTGTGTTCAAGCCTCCAAACTCATGTCTCCTGATGAGAAACCCAAGGGTCTGGAATGCTGTTGGCTCTCCATGGGGTGCCTACCAGTACCTGTGAGGCCAGGGAGAGGGGACTGCGGGGCTGTGGCCTGAGCAGCAGCCAGCTCTGGATTCTAATACTTCTTAGCAGCCTCTTTGTATATCCGCTGTTTCTGTGCACTGGAATGTGTATTTTCCTACATGGTCAAAGATATGCCCTGCTCCTCCTTCATTTTTCTCCCTGCCTTCTCCATTTAAGCCTCTCCTTCCGGGGATCATCCCAGGTCCTGTGCCTGCTAAGCAATCCTTATACTTGCAGTTCTGTCGACATGCTTTCTTAACTAGGTTTTCATCTGTTGGTTCTGTTCAGAAGCTCCATACCATCCTTGATTCATCCATACTTCTAACTACTGTTCCCTGTTTCTCAGCGAGGACCTACAGAAGTTAAAATAACATTGCAGGGGCCAGGCAGTGTGGAGCATGCCTTTAATCCCAGCACTTGGGAGGCAGAGGCAGGTGGATTTCTGAGTTCAAGGCCAGCCTGGTCTACAGAGTGAGTTCCAGGACAGCCAGGGCTACACAGAGAAACCCTGTCTCAAAAACAAAACAAAACAAAACAAAAATAACATTGCAGCTGTGTCTGCTTCACTGTATTCTATCATGGCAAGCACTGGCCCAGAGGCTGCCATAGAAACTGTCGTCTGTGGGCCTGTCTCCCTGGCTTGGTCAGAGTCTACTCACGGACAGTAGGGCCCTAGACCTCAAGTCTGAGATGAGGGAGGCACTGACGCCCATACTCATCTCTGAGGTCTGCTCCACCTCCCGCAAAATAATAATATTCAGGTCTAGGCCTTGTGTGTATGTGTGTACATGCACATGCACTTTAAAAATACATGTAATTTTAGGTAAATACAAAGTACTGTGATCCCTATAGCTTTTAAAAATGAACTCAGTGTTAGTTAATTATCCCTCCTCTGTCTTTCCTGTGTTGACTGTCTTCCTCGGTTAAAAATAAAGGTATCCCGGCGGTCTCCAGCTGTCCCTTTCTCCAGTGCTCCTACTGGAGTGGTGTCCTTTCTCTTTCCTGGTTCCTGTGCTTGCTCCAGGTTACATACTCACACCCGAGGATTTGGTGCAAGGAATGACACACGAGAGAGGACGTACTGCTTTCGTCTTTCTGGGTCTGGGTTATTTCACTCAGGACACACACGCACGCATCATATTTCTACTGTTTGAGGTAGGATCTCTCTATGTAGCTCTGCCTGTCCTGTAATTCTTCTCCGTAGACCTGTAGCCTAAAGTTTCAGAGTATATGTGTGTGTTGCCTGCATGTATGTCCGTGTCAGTGGATGCAGTGTCCCTGGAGTCTGGAAGAGGGCATCAGATCCTGAGGTGGAATTTTTCCTTCGTGTTAAGACTTATTCCACCGTGGCGTTGACTACCTCTGACATACCATGTAGTTCACAGAGATGTTCCTGTGTCCTTGACCTGTCTTACTTTCTCATCTTGTTGTTTTGTTTTATTGAGATAGGGTTTCATGTAACCCAGACTTTCCTAGAACTCATCGGTGCAGCTCAGGCTGACTTAAACTCACAGCGCCTTTTCCCTTAGCCTCAGGAGTCCTGAGATTACCAGTGTGAGCCACCTTACCAGGGATTTCTCATCTATATTATTTATTCATTAAAACAACTTTTTTTTTTTTTCAAGCTGGACAGTGATGGTGAACACTTTTAATTCCAGCCCTAGAGAGGCAGAGACAGGTGTATTTCTGTGAGTTCAAACCACCCTGGTCTACAGAGTGAATTCCAGGACAGCTAGGGCCACATAGAGAAACTATCTCAAAACAAAACACAAAAAATTTAAAGTATTTATTTGTATAACTATTTTGCTTCTATGTATGTGTGTATATGTGCACCCTGTATGTGCCTGGTACCTGCAGAGATCAGAAGAGGGCATTGGATCTCCTGGGACTGGACTTAGAGTCAGTTGTGAGCCACCATGTATGTACTGGGAGCTGAACCTGGGTCCTCACCTCTGCAAGACTGATGCTCTTAACTGCCGAGCCTATTCTTTGACCCCTTTATTGATTGATTTTTTTCTCTCTCTCTCCCTCTTCCCTCCCTCCTTCCCTTCTTTCCTTCCTTTTCTTTCATTACTCAAGACAGGTTTTCTCTATGTAGCCCTGGCTGTCCTAGAACTTCCCCTGTAGACCAGGCTGGTCTTGAACTTAAAGATCTGCCTGCTTCTGCCTCTCCAGTGCTGAAATCAAAGGTGTGCGTCATCATACCTGGCTTTGATTTATTTAGTTTTAATCTTTTTAAAATTTTCATATATGTGAGGTTTTACCTGCTTGTATGCATGTGGTACACATGGTATCCATGGAGGCCAGAAAAGGGCCTCTGTTAGCCTAGAATGGGGGTTACAGGCAGCTGTACTACAATAGGGGTGCTGGGAACAGAACCTGGGTCCTCTGCTAGAACAACAAGTGTTCCTAACCACTGAGCCGTATTACCAGGCTGGCCTCAAACTCACAGAAATCTGCCTGCCTCTCCCGAATGCTGGGATTAAAGGTGTATGCTACCAAACCTGGATGGATTTTTTTTTTAAGTGATTTATTTATTTTTATGTGCATTGGTGTTTGGCCTGCATGTATGTCTGTGTCAGGATGCCAGATCCTCGAGAACTGGCATTAGAGACAGTTGTGAGTTGCCATGTGGGTGCTGGGAATTGAACCTGGGACCTTTGGAAGAGCAGTCAGTGTTCTTAACTGCTGAGCCATCTCTCCGGCCTTGATATTTTTTTTTTTTTTTTTATTTCTTAATACAGAGTCTCATAAAACCCAGATGACTTCAAACTTAGGATGACTTCAGACTCCTGGTGCTCCTGCCTTTGTGTCCGTAGCGCTGAGGGTACAGATATCCGCCACCGTGCCTTGCTCACCTTTACCTAGTTCCCAAACTCAGGTCTCCCAGGTCTCCGTCACGTCTCCCACACAATAGAAATGTGAGTGGTTACTCTCTCTTTTTTTGTTTTTTTTTTTTAGTCCTGGAGTCAAAATGCGAAGCCCAGAAGTTATTCCTGAAGAAGGAGCTGTTTGAAATGGAGACAGCGCAGTGGGAGATCGTGAGGAAACTCACAAGGCAGGACCCTCAACGCTCTGGTCTCAGCAGTGCCCGGGAATGGAACGGCCACTGTGAGAGACAGCGCAGATCTCAGGAGAGACAGTTCAGCGAACTGATCATCAACCGGGAAGTCGTGCCCACTCTCAGTCAGTATCCATCCTTCAGGCTGCAGCAGGTTATTAAGAATAAAGAGAAATACTGTGCCAGTAAAGAGAACAGGGAACACTATAAGCACGGCTCCCAGTTTGCTACTCATCAGATCATTCCCACCATTGAGAAGCCGTACGAGTGTAAGGACTGTGGCAAGACCTTTAGACACCCCTCAGGGCTCACTCACCATCACAAAATCCACACTGGAAAGAAACCCTTTGAGTGCAAGGAATGTGGGAAAACGTTCATTTGCGGCTCAGACCTGACCCGACATCACAGAATTCACACAGGTGAGAAACCCTATGAGTGTAAGGACTGCGGAAAAGCCTTCAGTAGTGGCTCAAACTTTACTCGCCATCAGAGGATTCACACTGGCGAGAAGCCTTATGAATGTAAAGAATGTGGGAAGGCTTTTAGTAGCGGTTCAAATTTCACTCAACATCAGAGAATTCACACTGGGGAGAAACCCTATGAATGTAAGGAGTGCGGCAATGCCTTTAGTCAGAGTTCCCAACTTATTAAACATCAGAGAATCCACACCGGTGAGAAGCCCTACGAGTGTAAGGAGTGTGAGAAGGCTTTCCGGTCGGGTTCTGACCTCACTAGACACCAGAGAATCCATACTGGAGAAAAACCGTATGAGTGTAAGATTTGTGGGAAAGCCTATTCTCAGAGCTCACAGCTCATCAGTCACCACAGAATTCACGGCGGCGGTAAGAAAGCCTACGAAGACGAGGACTGTGGGAAGAACTTTAACTATGGCTCACAGCCTCTTCAGCATCAGAGCTTATACTGGTGATGAACCAGAACTCACACAATGTGTGGGAGACTCAGAACCGTCAGAGAATCTGTAGAATCCCTCTAGACCGAAGAATGTAGAAACAGTTTACTTGTTGACTTTCGCTTCTTCATCTGAAGAGAAGTTCATCCTGGAGAAGCACCCTGTGAATGTAGTATATTCCGGAAGCTGTTTAGTAACAGCTTATATTTCTTTTGACTCGATTTCAATCTGGCAAATAATTGAAAAAAACAATGCCTTGATCTTAAAGATAACAATCCACGTGGCAATGTGATTTTATGGTTTTCATTGTTTCCTTTTTTTTCTTTATAATTACTTCATTAACATTTGTTTCCTTTTTTGAGGGAGGTATCTTTGAGACAGGGTTTCTCTGTGTAGCACTGGCTGTTCTGAAGTTCTCTCTGTAGACCAGGCTGGCCACAAACTCAGTGATCTGCCTGTCTCTGCCTCCTGAATGCTGAGATTAAAGGCATACGCCACCACTACCCGCTGTATTCTTAATGTTTTTTTTTTTTTTAAGATTTTTTTTTTTTTCGAGACAGGGTTTCTCTATGTAGTCCTGGCTGTCCTGGAACTCACTCTGTAGACCAGGCTGGCCTCGAACTCAGAAATCCGCCTGCCTCTGCCTCCCAAGTGCTGGGATTAAAGGCGTGTGCCACCACCACCCGGCATTCTTAATGTTTTTAAAGTAGTTTGAGTCTTTAAGTTCATGAACAACTTTCAGCATGGTGGATAGGAACTACACGAGTTACTGGTTGTTTTGACAAAATGCTTTACAAAAGCAATTTGAACACTGTTCCACACCAGCAGTGATCAGGAGTTCCTTTCCAGAGGCCTCCGTCTACACCAAACTGAGATTCATGGCATCAACTATGAAATGAATTTCAGAGGGCACCAAATATCAGGCAGAGTTGGATTTATTAGAAATAGGAAGTAAGTGCATCAGGGAGAAAAGGGTTAAAGCACACTGACAGGAGAAGTGTGGGGAGAGAGTCAGTCAGGTCCTGCAGTGACTAGGATCTTGGTGGCTCTCAAGTTAACCCCTGTAAAGATTGCTAAGAAAGCAACTCCTTTCCGACATCTAGCAAAGTGTCATTTGTAACAAGATTAAGAGTTAAAGATGCCGGGCGGTGGTGGCGCACGCCTTTAATCCCAGCACTTGGGAGGCAGAGGCCAGAGGCAGGAGGATTTCTGAGTTCGAGGCCAGCCTGGTCTACAGAGTGAGTTCCAGGACAGCCAGGGCTGCACAGAGAAACCCTGTCTCGAAAAACCAAAAAAACCAAAAAAAAAAAAAAAAAAAAGGAAGAAGAAAGAAAGAGAAAAGAAAAACTGAAAGAAAAGAGTTAAGAGATTTTTTTCTTAGTAAGTCAGGTCGTGTGGTGGTTTATGAGGAGGATAATGTACGTACAGAAGGGTGCTAGGAACATGAGGTTATACATCGTTTAAAGCTCACGTGAGCACATCCTAATTGCTGTTCTTGACACCCTTCATGGAGATGGCTTCTGGGAAAGAATCAACTAGCGCTAACCAGAGCAATTTTCTTTAAAGTTTTATTTGTTTTGTGTGCCTGAGTGATTTGTCTGCACGTATGTATGTATGTATGTATGTATGTATGTATGTATGTGCACCACCTGTGTGCCTGGTGTCCTAGAGGCCTGGAAAAAGGATTGGAGTCCCTGGAACAGTTTCCAAATGGTTCTAAGCTGCCATGTGAGTGGTAGGGACAGAACCCTGGTCCTTTATAAGAGTAGCCAGTGCTCTTAACTGCTCAGCCATCTCTCAAGTCCTGAGATCAGTTTCTTTGCAGACTTTGACAAGATGACCTGATGACCTTTGGAAAGCACTTTTGAGGGGTGGGGGGATTGTTTCTTTCTTTCTTTCTTTTTTTTTTTTTTAACAGATCTTGCCTCGAGTTTATTTGTAAAAAACAGCATAGGACACTGGTCATCTGCAAATAGTGTGTGGGTAGGTGTGTCACGGCAGTCCATCTGTCTTCACGTTGGCAGGAGCCTTTTCTATGGGGCCTTCACAGGGGCCTGGGCACCTTTGGGAGCCTGGGCTGGAGCTGCAGCCTGGGCCTTAGCTGGAGCTTTGGCCTCTGCCTTGGTTTGAACTTTGGGCTTTGGTTGGCAGAGCCTACGACCCTTGGCCATGTAGCTTCGAATCCGCTTCCCAAGGTTGGGGTGAGCGATGAAAGCCAGGCGGCTGAGTTTGCGGCTGGGGCCCTTTGGCATCTTGGGCTTGATGGCCTGAGGCTTCACAAGGGCCTTGATGGCCTCTGCACGTGCACTCACTGCCTTTGCATTGTTGGCCTGCATCTTCTTCAGGCCTTTCTTGTTGTGCTTCTTGGCAAAGCGCATGTTCCTCAAGAACTTGGGGTCAACCCCCTTAAGAGACTCGTATCTTTGTGACCGGGGTTTCTTGATGCCATTTCTGTGCCATTTGCGGGACTGGTTGTGTGTGGTGTGGTTCTTGGACTTGGCCATGTCTGCACGGTAACCCGCGGCTTCCGCAGCGCCTGGGACCGGAAGAGAAAGAGAAAGACCCGTAGTGCAACACGGGAAATAGGGCCGACGCCGCCGGAAGGTCCAACCGGATTGTTTCTTTTTAAGACAGAGGCTCCTTTGTGTAGCCCTGGCTGTCCTGAAACTCTCTGTAGACGAAGCTGGCCTTGAACTCCGAGAGATCCTGCTGCCTCTGCTTCCCAAGTGCTGGGATTAAAGATGGAAAACATGTATTTTTTTATGTGCTGTTAGGTCTTAATCAGGGGAGTTTGAAATCTGCCTTTGTGGGTGTTAAAAGCTGATCAGGTCTCTGCAAGCCTTTTTTCCTGCGGCGCTGAGATTCCCTTTCTGTCTGTCTTGCTGTGGAGTTCAGTCTCTTCACAGTTTGAGGATACAGTGTGACAGAACTGGGAAAAGGTAAACAGTCTGAAAACGCCCCACTCTCCCATCCCCACCCCCAGACTCCCAGAGACATAACTTGTGATTCAAAATCTCAAGTTGACAATCAAGATCAGGTGCTCTTTGTGGTGGCACATGAGAGACAAGAGTCCAGCCTGGTCGACTTAGAAAGTAACAGGACAGCCAGGACTACTACACAGAGAAACCTTGTCTGGAAAAACCAAAACAACAGCATCAAAAATTAGCAATCACAGGACTCTTACCGTGACAGTATTTCCTTGTGTTACTGGTAAATCATGTTAAGTGCCTCCTGTTGTGTGGGGCAAGGCTGGAGCATAGTCACCTCCAAAGCCCCTCCTCTCCCCAATATAAGGGGGCCTCTCCTGGCATTTTGTGGGAGAGCTCCACCATTCAGATACATCACCATGGCAATAAAACTTCTATATCTTCAATTCTACGTGTCTCCTGGGACTCTAGACTCTCTTTGTGTAAGTGGAAAACTGGGGTTGGGGGGGTGGGGGAGGAGGGAAGCCCTTCTGTAACTCCCTGCTCCAGTGGGCTTCCTGCACTCCCTGCTCCGGCCATCCTGAGGACTCAGCCGAAGCCCAAGCTGAACCCGCTGGGCGCATTGGCTCCCCAGCCCTCTCCCGCCCAGCGGTCAGCGGGGCTCTCTCTCCGCTACAATCGCGGGCACTAGCACACCGACCCCGCCCACGACCCACGCGAGTTTTGAACCACACTGTTGGACCTTGTTTTAGATATTTTTTCATGATACATGCTAAAATATATGCCCCCAGTGGATAGTCTTCCTAGGCATATCTTTATACTTTATACCATGTTTTGGATTTTTTATGTGTATGAGTGTCTTTGTGTGTGTGTGTGTGTGTGTGTGTGTGTGTGTGTATACCTCTGACTCATGTGGGCACTGAATCCCTGGGAACTGGGTTATACCTGGTTATGGATGTATATGGATACCATATGGATGCTGAGAACCAAACTTGTGTTTTCTGTAAGAGCAACTGGTATTCTTAACCAGTGAGCCATCTCCTAAGCCCACCTGCCCTGTCTGTCTGTCTGTCTGTCTATTTGGGTTTTTTTTGGGGGGGGACAGGGTCTTTCTACATTACCCCAGTTATCCTGGAACTCATGTAGACCAGGCTGGCCCCACGCACACAGAGATCCCGCTGCCTCTCCCTCCCAGTGTGAATGCTGAGATTGAAGGTGTGTACTGCCATGTCCAGCCACACATTTTACTTTCGTAGCTTTCAGTTTGTTTGTGCAGCACTCCTTGTGTGGCGGTCACAGGGGAAACTGGTTCTCTCCTTCCACCGTGTGGTTCCCAGGGAACGAACAGCAAGCACCGCTGAGCCATCTCTTTGACTTCAACGCTCTTAATTTTAAAACTAGAAATAAGACAGATGTGTTTTCTTATGGAATATTTAAACATAAATAAGACAGCAACACCTTTTGACCTTATTTCCCCTAAGAGTATTCATATTCAGCTGTTTACTTCATTAGATGGCAAGTTTCTGCCTGAGATCAGGTTTGTTTTTTTTTGTTTTGTTTTTGTTTTGTTTTATGTGTGTGTGCTGTAGCACATTACATGTGTGGAGGTCAAAGGATACCTTGTCCTTGACAGCGAGTAGGTTTAATCTCATATGCCCCACGATGTCACCTGGCCGGTTTCAAACTTAGGCTCATTGATCTTCCCACCTCGGCCCCGGAGCAGCCGGAACCGGCCGAATCCTCATGCGTGTATCGTGTTGTCTGGCCGGTGGGTTGGTTTGTTGGGACAGGGTCTCCCTATGTAATCCACTCTGGCCTCAAACGGACCAGACTCGGGTGCTGAGACTGCCGGCGGATGCTCAGCTGGGACCCCTTGTTTTTAGTGGATACTGCTTCGGTATTTCACTAGGGTTAAGATTCATGGTGCTTAGGGCTGTGCCTGCCACGTGACAGTGTATGTGAACCGCTGCTTCAAATTCACTGTTATCCCTGTTTATTGAAAGGCTTAGAGAACTTACACATTAGAGAATACAATTAAAGATGATCGCCGGGCGGTGATGGCGCGCGCCTTTAATCCCAGCACTTGGGAGGCAGAGGCAGGCGGATTTCTGAGTTCGAGGCCAGCCTGGTCTACAGAGTGAGTTCCAGGACAGCCAGGGCTACACAGAGAAACCCGGTCTCGAAAAAAAAAACAAAACAAAAAACAACAATTAAAGATGATCAATTAATCAAAAATTTAACAACCATCACATTTACTGAGACCAGGTCTTATTACAGAGCCCTGGCTGGCTTGGAACTCACTAGGTAGCTCAGGCTGGCCCCAAAATTTGAGTGATCCTTCTGCCTTCAAAGTGTTGAGATTACA